GATAAACACAAGAGCCGGTAGCCCTGCTTGTTGCCCCCAGTCACCGCACCTGCCCATTTCCTATTCCCACAGTGCCGGGTGCGCACTGTCCTCTCTCAGGCCCTCTCCTCATCCAAAACATCCCCCCGTGTGCCTCGTATGCAGGCACATACTCCCCCCGCCCCAGCACACCGTCATTAATTCACCACTACCGAAATCGCTCGGCAGTGTCTTCCGTAAGAGAAGCTTCTTTCGCAGCCACTTTTCTGAGACAGTACCATAACGTTGCTGTGCTGCACCACCTCTAGCATTTTGGCCAGACTACTTAACAATATTTTAGAACTCCATTTTAATTTCTTTCAAAGGTCATTTTCTAATCCTCGTTGTTGCAGAGGAAAACTTGAAAGCGTGACTGGACTGAGCAGCAAAAGCTTATAAGACACATAACAAGTGCACCATCTATTATTCCAGCACTTAAGACAATTTCATGATTTTCATGGGAACTGTCTGGTGATCTTGCAAGTATTAACACTTCAGTACTGCCTCTAGGTCTGCTTGTGCTGAAAGATCCATACGCACACGTTCAAAAGGTGGCTTCCCTGATGAAAAACCCTACCTACATAGTCCCATTAAATACCTATTATTTTTCTCAAATATTACTCTACTGCATAATGTTCAGAGCAGATTATATTATAGTTATAGGCTGTACTTAGTTGTACTACACTGAGTTCTAGCTTAATGTTTATGCATTTCACAGTCTCACAGTCTATCAACAATCTGAGAATAAACCCAGACCTTTCAGCTAACATTACATTAGGTATGTGGGGCTGTGGCTTCCAGTTCAGGCTTTCCATGTGCAGGGATAAAAATTATATACTGTACCTCCAGCACTGGGATTCTACACGCCAGCCACAGCTACAGCAGGCAAGAAGCCGTAACTCTGGGATGCAAATGTGTTAGTTGCAGTTGCCATGGCTGGAAGAAAGGAGATAAGGGCCAAATTCATGAGTCTCATACTGAAAGCATGAAACTTGACTGGTCAAAGTAAAAGCTTCTGGTAGCAAGTATTAAAATAATATTTCATTATATAAAAGAAACAAAACAAATATTGCAGTCAAAAAGAGGTAAAATAGTGCAATAATAAAAATGTATTTGCACAGTAAAAACTGTATATTCTGTATGGTGAGATGTGGTATATATTTACATGGTGCACATTTATGTAAATGAAATGATCCCATTTAACTTTTTTCCTTCTTACATTTAATGCACAAAAAACAAGATAGAAAATCTAAATTGACACTGAAAATACTCCAGCTACTCAGAATCCAGAGAACCCCAGTTTTCACACTTCTCTAGTTCATTCACAAAAGATATCTATCTGCATTTCATATAGCAGTTATCAATCAAATCCTGGCCTGCTTTCCTCATGGCATGAAGCTATGTGATTCTAGTATCTGTTTGGATGTCTAGTCATCTATTATTTTTTTCCTAGCAGTTTTGAAACAAACTGCTGTTGAATTTGACTGACAGGTGAAGGTCCCAGAAAGATAGCTAAGTTCAAGTCTTGTGACCACAGGGAGCTGGGTGGAGGACAGAGGCTGTACTAACGAGGAGAGGTGCAAAGGGGTGAGAGGAAAAGCTGTTACCTGTTTGGTATACGACCAGTCCATCAGCGCCAATGTACTGGCTAGCCCATCCTGCACATGCAGTTTGCAGCCAGCCTCATCATGGTGTTTCTGGCCCTGCTGTCAGCCTGAAGATGTGGGAAGGAGCCTGTGGCAACACCGAGGATTTAGGGAATATAGGAGGAAACTAGACACACTCAAGTTATGGTGCTATCTCCCGCTCCCTACTACAGGTATTTTAAACCATTCATAATACAGGAAAGCTACAGAACGGGCCTAAACAACTCAGGTATTCCTGCTAAACATGACTGGGAAGCCCGTGTGGCCACACTGCCCTTGTACTTCATGGTTTCTGGTTGCCAGAGCAGCCTTTCGCTGCCTATTGCAATTTAAACAGTCCAGGCCCAGTGTGGCCTCTCACTGAGTTGAGACTAAAGCAGCGAAGGCTGCAAGATGAGAGTTCATCTGCCTGGCTCTAACCAGAGTTCAGGTAAGTCCAGGGTACTAACTTTTTGCCAAGTTTATTAAAATGCCTCCATTTTAATAAAGTGACATATTTATAAGCAAGCAATACATTTTCAGGAGCAGCTAGCTAGGCTCCATTGAAATACACTTGATATTGTAAGCTGCTGTACCTGTGTACCTAGAGAAGACCAATAATACTATATTTTCTATTCCCTTTTTGCTCTAATGGTAAGCAGCAGCAATATGTGTTTAAATAGTTTCTGTTTTCCACGCACACTCACCGTCATTTGCGGGGGTCCATCCAAGACAATCTTCTGTCCAAAGGAAAATTCCTCCCCGACGGTCCATTTCAGATGATGCTGACTTCTAACATACTATCAAGAATGCACGATGGAAAAGGGTTGTTGAAAAAAGCACATTGTCTCCATGTTCATTTGGAATATATAGGCATTGTACTCTGTCATGACTGGGTTACCTGGGTACCAAAAACAGCCTAGCCATGAGAGTACATAACAAAGCATGAGCTAATTTACTTGTCTCCTCAGCAGAATAAATTAGCTTGAGAAAGCAAAGTCATAATAGAGTTCTATGCTAGACGAGTCCTAAACTTACTTAGAACCAGCTTAATTATCTCTACGTTGCACTAGGCTGTGCATTAGACAGGCATATGTTTAAATTTTCTTTTGATTGGAAGCTGCGTTGTACTTGCTTCTTTCCATGGGATTGCAGATCTCTTTTCTAGGAGCAGCTTTAGGTATTTTCATCACAGTTTGTTATCCTAATCAATTGCCTTTTAAACATCTGATTTTCCTTGGCAGGATCATGCAGTTGAAATGAAGTTATCTGGATACAAGATCAGTTTTCTTAGTCATAAGGGAAACCATGCAGTTCCCATGCAAATTTGTTCTCCAGTTTACCAAGAATCACTTAACTGATTTTTTGGTTTGTTCAGCCCAGAAATAGGCATCAAATCGAGGTGTCCTATAGATGGTGGAAAGGTGACCCATAATTCCTCCAAGTTTTTGTCTTGTATTCCAATATTTAAGCATTATATTTGCAAATAAGTTTAAAGTCATGATTGAAGAAAACCCTGAAATCCTTAATTAAATGTAAACAAGTTGTGATGTTTGCCCATTTGCCTAAGGTTGCGGGTTCTAAAACAGCAGGTGGAAGAGGCATTACTGTCCAATTCGTGTCAGTGAGATGTTAACTCAAATGTTCATGGGCAATATTTAAATGTTAATATTACTATTTCATTGACCCTGAAACTAAGGGGAAAAACAAAGTTGTGTTGTGTGGACCTCCATCATCTAGTATCTGGGATGTTTATTCTTGCCTAACGTTGGTGGATCTGGCAGAATACTAGGAGTTATCACGTTACGTAGACAAGAAACTTAGCAAAAAAGAGCAACCTGACAGAGCACTACTGTGTTAGAAGGGGAGAAGAAAGTCCAGATGTGAGTATTTGCATTAATACACCATTTTAAAGCTACTAAGAAGAATAAGACAGACAAACAGAAAGAATAAAAGGATGAAAAGAAAGAAAGAATAGTGAAAGAGAGAGAGAAAAAGAAAGCAAGAAAGAGAAAAAGAAAGGAAGGAAGGAAGGAAAAAAGAAGAAAAATATTTAAGTAGCTAATGAAATGTATACTTGCATATACATATTCTAATAAAACACGGCAGGATTTGTTCAATGTTACTCAATTTACATTTTTTGGAAGCATTATACACAAGAGCAAAGTAAGATGAATAACAGCATTTAAACTTGCAGAGATGTGGACACTAACACGATTAACTGGAGCTGCTGCTCAAATGGAGGAAATATTGCAATCAGTTAATTTCATAGACCAAATTTTCCATTTACCTTTAGTATGCATAAAGTGACTAACTTTACTACTACCTGATCTATAAAAACACAATAATATCACTGATATTTGGCCTACCTAAGAGTATTTCTTTCCAGTCAAACTTATGGACTATGTCTTTCAGGCTGGGACCCTCAAGAACTCACTGTTAACAGAAATGACAGACAAACTTTCTACATTGGGGTCATTGCTTGCGAGAATTTGATCCACTTTTTTCTAAGCTAAAAATATCTTTTCAACTACATATAGTCAAGACGGTGTTTAGTGTTAGATGTTGAGATCTATCTCAAATTACTTTTTATTCTGTATTGCTACAATGGAATAAGTGGCCTTTCTAAAGATTTTGATTCACAACTGAAAATAAATTTAACAGTAGCAACTAAAGTTGCTATTGCCTCAAGCAATCTGCACCACCCATCTCTCTGAGATTACTCATGGATGTCAAGTACATTTTGAGTGGAATTTAAAATGTAAATGCACTGTAGTAAAGGTAAAAAAGGTATTGACATTAATGTGTTTAAATTAAAACAAACTAAATACACACCATTTAGTATAAAATTTCATTGGACAGGTTAAAAGTTCGAGCTGGTATGTTAAGTAAATGTATAGGGAGAAGGTGTGAAGCAGGTCATCAACATGTAAAGCAAGATTAGTGGCAGCTGCAGGCAAAATGAACATTAGTCATCTATCTAGGTATCATTTTTAACAGAAAATTCTTCATGAAAATTTCCATCATCTTTATATTGTTCTTTGTTGACCAGTCAAGTTTTTTTTCAGTAGAACACTGGATCCTACTGGATTCCTGTTTCATAAAGTCACTGGTATTCCATCTGGAAACGGTAGAAATTCATAAACAGAGGAAATCTCTGGAGATCACCTGAAAAAGTCTAATGAGTTACATTGAGAATGTCCTCTATTGCCTCTAGCACTGAGTTTTGAATGCCTTTTTTGTGGGTGAAAAAGTAGCAATAGAGTGACAGTAGTAGAACCACAGGAAAAGATGGAAATGACTACCTGGCAAAGATTTTCTCAATTCATTCTTTTTATTAAGTGGGGAAAACAAAATCAACAAAGAGGGGTGTACAGACATAGGTTAAGACCCCTTCTGTCTTCACAGTGAGTGAAGGGAACAGCAGCAAAGGAGTTCAAAAGTCCCTCTTCTTGTTGCCAGGAGCAGTGCTGGTGGCCTACACAATACATCTGTGCGCGGGTTATCTCCCAGGTAGTGGTCCTGGAGGAGACAGAAAGGAAAGAAGTACTGTGAGAGGTTAGAGATTGGCTTAGAGGATTGAGAGAGATTTATCTCTCTATTGGCAGAGAAAAAAACATCTTGGTGAAGAAGAACCAGAGAAAGAAAAGACACTAGAAAAAAAGAAGGGCTATGAAAGAGAGAAAAAGATAATGGAGATATCAGGTAAATCCAAGATAGAGGAGCAGAGGAATTGGGATTAGAACTGACTCAGAGAAAGAGAAGGAGGATTGCCAGTTTTCTCCTCCTCCTTTTAATTTATCTAATTCTTTCTTGGAATAAAGTGTTGCATCACTTTCTCTACTGGTCCTCGATTTCCATTACTGCAGATTGCTGTACCCTAACGCAGCAGCTTCCAACTGGTGAAGTGTAAAGCCAGGAGCGGTGCAGTGTCTAGTTGGTGGAGGTGTTGTGGCCCTGCAGAGGCAGCCCCAGCATCCCTGTGCTGCACGGCTGGGAGCTGGCATGCCAAGGGCCAGCACGGGGCCAGCTGCAACTGCCAATGCAGGGTCTTGCCCCTGGAGAGCCTTGTCCATGCGAGGGTCTTGCCAGAGCCGGCAGCGCAACCCGCAGGGGCTGAGGGCTTGTGGTGACAGCTCTAAGGGAACACAGTGATGTATGGTGTACTGCTCATTGTTTGAAGAGTGTCTTTGGCTAGAAAGAGTTTGGGAAAGGCTGGCCTAGAAATTGCAGAGGTTATTACTTGTTTATGCGGTAGCTGGAGGTCTCATCCACAAAGAACGCACTGTTCTTTGGGTCTAAAGTGATTACCCGCATCAAGGGATGTCAAGGACAACAAGAAGGCCTTCTTCAAATACATCAATAGCAAAAGGAAGACTAGGGAAAACGTGGGCCCGCTGCTGAATGGGGCGGGTGCCCTGGTGACAAAGGATACAGAGAAGGCAGAGTTATTGAATGCTGCCTTTGCTTCCGTCTTCACTGCTAAGGCCAGTCCTGAGGAATTCCAGACCTTGGAGACAAGAGAGGAAGGCTGGAGAAAGGAAGACTCTCCCTTGGTGGAGGAGGATCAGGTTAGAGATCTTTTGTCCAAACTTGACATCCATAAATCCATGGGCCCCGATGGGATGCACCCACGAGTGCTGAGGGAGCTGGCGGATGTTATCGCTAGGCCACTCTCCATCATCTTGGAAAGGTCCTGGAGATCAGGAGAGGTGCCTGAGGACTGGAAGAAAGCCAATGTCACCCCAGTCTTCCAAAAGGGCAAGAAGGAGGAGCCAGGAAACTCCAGGCCTGTCAGCCTCCCCTCCATCCCTGGAAAGGTGATGGAACAGCTCCTCCTGGAGGTCATCACTAAGCATCTGGAGGACAAGAAGGTGATCAGGAGTAGGCAGCATGGATTCCCCAAAGGGAAATCATGCTTGACCAATCTGATAGCCTTCTATGACGGAATGACTGGCTGGGGAGATGAGGGCAGAGCAGTGGATGTTGTCTACCGGGACTTCAGCAAGGCTTTTGACACTGTCTCCCATCACATCCTCCTAGGTAAGCTCAGGAAGTGTGGGCTAGATGAGTGGACAGTGAGGTGG